GACACAACATCTTTGTTTGTATGTGGTGCTGAGGATCGAACCCTGGCTGCACGCATGCCAGGTGAGAGCGCTCAACCACTTGAGCCACATCCCCAGCCCTCCATTTGCTCTTAACATGCCTGTATTACTGTTTTGAAGTGAGTCCTTTGTAGATAGCTAGATCATGTTTTGCCAATCTCGCTTTTTTTTTTTTGTACCAGGAATTAAATCCGGGGGCACTTAACCACTGAGCCACACCCCCAGCCTTTTTATTTTTTCATTTTGAGACAGGATCTTGCCAAGTTAAGGGCCTTGATAAATTGCTGAGACTGGATTGAACTCTCAGTCCTCCTCCCTCAGCTTCCACAAGCCTCTGGGATTATAGATGTAGTGCCCAGCCATTCTGCCAGTATCTCTCACTCTTTGTTTTTTAAGTTCGCTTTTTTAAAAAATATTTTTTAGTTGTCGATAGACCTTTATTTATTTATATGTGGTGCTGAGAATCGAACCCAGTGCCTCACGCATGCTAGGCGAGCACGCTACCACTTAAGCCACATCCCCAGCCAGTCCCTAGCCCTTTTTAAAATTTTTATTTGGAGGCAGGGCCTAACTAAATTGCTGAGGCTGGCTTGATTACAGGCCTGCTCCACTGTGCCCTGCCCCATTTTCATTTTGATGTAGCTGTAGTTTGTTTTCCCCCCAGTCCTGGGGATTGAGTCTAGGGCTTTTTGTATGCTAGGCAAATGCTCTACCACTGAGCACAGTCCTCCCTAGGCCATTTTTAAACTCACCAAAAAAACAAACCATTAACCTTTCAGACTTATTTATTTATTTATTTTTTATCTTTGTTTTATGGTTTTTTTCCTGTGGTACTAGCGTTGAACCCAGGGCTTTGCACATGTAAGGCAAGTGCTCTACCATTAAGCTACATCCCTAGCCCTGATCTATAGTTGTTTTTTTTGTTTTGTTTTGTTTTTGTACCGGGGATTGAACTCAGGGGCACTTGACCACTGAGCCACATCCCCAGCCCTATTTTGTAATTTATTTAGAGACAAGGTCTCACTGAGTTGCTTAGTGCCTTGCTTTTGCTGAGGCTGGCTTTGCACTTGTGATCCTCCTGCCTCAGCCTCCCAAGCCGCTGGGATTACAGGAGTGCACCGCCAAACCCGTCTTGATCTGTTGTATTTTGAGGAGTATCTCTTTGAATAACTTTCAGTGATTTTTTTTAAGGCATTATAATATATATATATAAAATATCATAATTTAGTGATGTCATTTTGACAGTTCAGGTGAAGTTGGAGACCCTTTACTTCCCTCTTCTGCTTATAATGTAATTATCTTAATTTAATTTGAGAACTTGATCAAATAATTATAAGTTTTGATTCAACAATTGAACATAAATTTGAAAAGCCTGTTGTTTTTATCTGTAGTTTTGCTTACTGTGTGTTTTGCTCCCTCTAGATGTTCCTGATTTTCTTTTTTATTATATCCTTTCTAACTTTATCAATTCTTTTAGGATGATAAGTCAACTGGAAACCAGTTCTCTTCATTTAAAAATTTTTTATTTTAAGAGAGGGTCTTAGTAGGTTTTTGAGTCTGTCTTTGAACTTGAGATCCTCTAGCCTCAGCTTCCTAAGCTGCTGAGATTTCAAGCGAGCACCACTCTGCCTGGTTTCACTTACTGTATTTTCAGTTCTAAAATTTCCATTTGTTTCTTTTTATTGTCTGTTTCTTTGCTGAGTCTTCCTATTTTTTTCATTTAATTTGAGATTTTCCTCGTTCTAGTTATAATGAGTGCGTTTTGATTGAAACTTGAGCATGTTGACATTGTGTTACTGAAGAGAGCTGTATGAGTTGGCTTGCTCTCTGCTGCTCTGGTAGGAGAAGAAGTTGTGCCGCCTCATTACTTAAGTGGGAGTGAAGTGCAGTCTCCCTGCCCACACCCCCCACCTCCCACCTCCATGGGAAGCCAAACTTCCCAGAACACTTTGGGGTGAGTGGTCTTGGAAGTTTGGCTTTCCATGTGCTCTCTATTGACATTGCGGAGATGAATGATGGCCTGATCCCCTGCTTGGCCTCCAGTACCACCCAATGGTTATTAGGGTGCCTTGTTACAGCTTGGAGGGCTGCAGTCTAGGCTTCCCACTCAGCCTTTCCTGGCACTAGGGGGGCTGGGGCTGTGGTTGTGGGGTTTTTCCCCCCTCTGTTTGTTTCTTTTGTTTTTATTTTCAGTGCTGAGGATCAAATATAGGGCCTTGCACCTGTGAGGCAGGTGCTTTTTCACTGAGCTACATTTCTGGTCTAGGTTTTTGGAAGTACTTTGTGGGAAGAATAAGGAAACCTCGTGGACATTTTTAAAGAAATTAACTAACTTCTTGCCTCTTAAATGTTTCAGATTTGCATTTAGAAACATCTAAGCGTGATAATGCTTATGTTTGAAAAAATTTACTTGATTTTTTTTTTTTTTTTGTAGAAAAAAATTAAAACCAACTTTTACATGCTATAAATGCTTTAGAATTAAATAATATTGGAGAATTTTTGCTACAGGGGCCAAAAATTGGTTTTGATCTTTTAATTTCAAAAATGGGAAAAACCAAACTGTATTTCTTTCATATACTAAATGACTAATCTATTTTCTTCATTTGTTTTCAGCTTATAGTTGCAACAACATGCATGGGAATAAGCCATCCAATATTTTCCCGTAGAACCTTTGATTTTTGTATTGTGGATGAAGCATCTCAAATTAGCCAACCAGTTTGCCTGGGGCCACTTTTTTTTGCTCAGAGATTCGTGTTGGTGGGGGATCATCAGCAGCTTCCTCCCCTGGTGCTAAACCCAGAAGCAAGGTAGGCAGGTATTTAAGTTTTGTTATATTTTGATGTAATAGAGTTAGGCTTTCTCTGGGTTGTCCAGGCTGGCCTCTTAACTTCTGGGCTCAACTTCCTCTGGCCTTGGCTTCCCAAGTACCTGGGGACTATAGGCTCACACTAGCATCCCTATCTTTACATTTCATTTATTTATTTACTTATTTATTTGTTGGTGTCTGGGCGCAGGGTGTGAACCCAGGGGCATTTAACCACTGAGCCACATCCCCAACCCTTTTTATTTTTATTTAGTGACAGGGTCTCACTAAGTTGCTGAGGGCCTCACTGATTTGCTGAGGTTAGCCTTTGAACTTGCAAACCTCCTGCCTCAGCCTCCTGAGCTACTGGGGTTACAGATGTGCAACATCATGGCCAGCTTTAAATTTTAATTTTAAACTGGATTCTTTTTATTTTTTTAATATTTATTTTTTTGGTCGTAGTTGGACATACTACCTTTATTTTATTTTTATGTGGTGCTGAGGATCGAACCCAGGGCCTCACACGTGCTAGGCGAGCGCTCTACCACTGAGCCACAATCCCAGCCCCAAAACTGGATTCTTTTTAAGGGACAATATTACTACAATGATAAGCCTGAATTTTATTTATTTATTTATTTTTGACAGTGCTCTTGGCATGAGTGAAAGCTTATTCAAGAGGCTGGAGAAGAATCAAAATGCTGTTGTACAGTTAACTGTGCAGTACAGAATGAACAGGTATTTATAACAGTGTCAGCAATAAATGTTTTTTAATGTACACATTTTCATGTACCAGAACTTAAGTTTGTGTTTTGCAATTCTCTTAGTAAAATTATGTCCCTAAGTAACAAGCTGACCTATGATGGAAAGCTGGAGTGTGGATCAGACAAAGTGGCCAATGCAGTGATAAACCTACCTCACTTTAAAGATGTAAAGTTGGAATTGGAATTCTACGCTGATTATTCTGATAATCCTTGGCTGATTGGAGTATTTGAGCCAAACAATCCTGTTTGTTTTCTTAATACAGAAAAGGTAAAAAATATTTTTTTCTTTAGTTTTACTGCTTTTGTTCTGTTATTTAAATTTCTCAGTTTCTATTAGTATACATTTCAGTGGACCTTATCAGTAGAAAGGCAAAACTGATGTGTACTTCTCCCACTTCAACACAGAGTTTTTTCTTTCTATAGCCCAATATTTGGGGGAGGAGATTTATTTTGGGGGTTGATAGATGTCAAAATTAATCATTTTGTGGGAGAGGATTGAACCCAGAGGCACTTAACCAATAAAACACATCCCTAGCCCTTTTTGTTTTGAGATAGGGTCTCGCCAAGTTGCTCAGGGCCTTACTAAGTTGCTGAGTCTGTCTTTGAACTTTTGATCCTCCTGCATCAGCCTCCTGAACTGCTAGGATTACAGGTGTGTGCCGCCACACTTGGCTTGTTTTATTTATTCACTTATTTATTTATTTTTGCAGTGTTGGTGATTGGAACCAGGTGCTGGGCAAGTGCTCTGCTGCTGAGCTACATGCCTACCTACCTTGTTTTATATAATGCTTCTCAACATTGAGTTGGAAGTTCAAATAAAAGTATAATTACCAGTTATGTATATGCATACTCCTCTAAAATAATTGTCTTTTGGGCCAGGGTGTGGCTCAGTGATACAACACTATTTCAGCATGTGTGGGGTCCTGGATTTAATCCCCAGCACCCCCAAAATAATACTTGTCTTGTTATTAAGTCAGATTGTTCCTAGCCAGCCTCAGCAACTTAATGAGGTTCTCAGCAACTTAGTGATACCCTGATTCAAAATAAAAAATGAAAAGAGCTGGGGATGTGGCTCCATGATTAAGTACCTCTTGATTCAATCCCTAATACCAAAAATTTAAAAATAAAAAAAAAAAGAGATGGGGGCTGGGGCTGGGGCTCAGTGGTAGAGCACTTGCCTTGCACATGTGAGGTACTGGGTTCTATATTCAGCACCACATAAAAATAAATAAAATAAAGGTATTATGTCCATCTACAACTAAAATAATATTTTTTAAGAAATAAAAAATAATCAAGGTTGCATAGTGATAATGTAGGTAAATAATGTGGATGATGTAAAGTATTCCTTAGAGAGTTATATCAGGTTTGGCAGAGCCTAGCACCCTTATTTTTTCCATTATTTGTATAAAAGGAGACAAGAAAATGTAAAAACTGATACTACAACCAGGTCTAAGTTTGAGTCTTGTGTCAGGATCTGTTGTGAGGCCCTGGGAAAATTACTTGCTAGTCTGCCTTTGATTCCTGTAAAAGGTAAGGTAATAGAGTGAATTACGTGAAGCCTAGCGTATGGTCAGCTTTCCTAGAGATTTTAGTCTGAACTGCACGGCATGTTTAAGTTGAGTTGCCCTCATGTTCCTTTTTAAAAGTGCTCATATTCATTTCTATTGATTTTTTTTCCACCTTCACTTCAACAATATTTCTCCTGTCTCCAAACCCCAGCAGTGGAGTTTCTAAGCTACCTGCACACTTAAGTATTCTGACCTTTAGAGACTGTATTATAAGTGAACTACGTATTTTTTTTAACTTAGGTTCCAGCACCAGAACAAGTTGAAAAAGGTGGTGTGAGCAACATAACAGAAGCCAAACTCATAGTTTTTCTGACCTCAGTGTTTATTAAGGTAATTTAGAATTTTTAAGGCTAATCAATATTAAGGAGCAGAGTAATGAACTACTTACTATTAGGCTGTAGGAAATTTAAGATCTGGTTTTAACTCTTGTTAACATAGAAGGACTGAAGCCCCATTGTTTTTGCTTCATTTGGAGAAAATTAATTCAAGATGTGTTTTTTAATAAGGACATTTGGGTTTTCCATCTAGGTTGGTTTTGTCATTCTAATCATGTCACTCTGTGCTGTAGTTAATGTGATTGGGCATTGGGAACTTTTACACTGGGATGGGTTTTCTGTGTGCTCTTCTTTTGTGGGGTAGCACTTTTTAGTGGCCCATAAGCCATTAACCAGTATCCTTCATAAATCTCTAAAAATCAAAGGAATAAAAGTCAGGATTCTTCATTTAAAACTGTGTCCTTTTCTGTTTAGGCTGGATGTAATCCCTCTGATATTGGTATCATTGCACCATATAGGCAGCAATTAAAGATCATCAACGATTTGTTGGAACATTCTTCTGTTAAGATGGTCGAAGTTAATACAGTAGATAAATACCAAGGAAGAGACAAAAGAATCATCCTAGTGTCTTTTGTTAGAAGTAATAAGGATGGAACCGTAAGTTGATTGTATTTGCCACTGACTCGTTCGGGAATCAGTCATAGTCTCTGTCTTCTCTCTCTTTCTGTCATTTTTTTCATTTGGGGTCCAGGGCCTTGTGTGTGCTAGTCAAGTTTTCTACCACTGAGCTACACCTCTAGCACTCTCTTTTTAAAATTGTGGTTAAAAAGAAAAATTAAATTTACCATTTTAATCTTTTTTGGAGAGGAGCAATGCTGGGGATTAATTAAAGTCAGGCATGCTTTACCGATGAGCTGCATCCCCAGCCCTTTCTATTTGTTTTTTAAATTTTGAGACAGGGTTTCCCTAAGTTGCTTAGGGCCTCACTCAGTTTGTGGTCTTGCTCAATTGCTGAGGCTACCCTTGAATTTGCAGTCCTCCTGACTGTAATCCCCTGGGAGTATACAACCACAGTGCCTAAGTTCCCTTTTCATTTTATATTTTAAAACAAGATCTTGCTACTTTGCCCAGGCTGGCCTTAAAGTTGGCCTTCCTGCCTCTGTCTCTTTACATTTTGCAGATCTAAAATTCTGTACTCATGAAAAACTCTCCATTATGCCCCACTTCAGTCCTATAACCACCATTCTGCTCTCTGTCTCTGAATTTGACTTTTCTGGGTATAAATGAAATCAAACAGTATTTGTCTTTTTGTGACTAGCTTATTTCACTTGTGTTCATCCATGTTGTAGCATATGTCAGTATTTCTTTTCTTTTTTAAGTGTTCCCTTGTCTATACGTACCATGTTTTATTTATCCATGGATGGACATTTGGATTGCTTTCACCTCTCGGATATTGTGTTTGAGGCTTTGTGGGTTTTTGTTGTTGTTGTGGTTGTTTGTTTGGGGCATTGGGCATTGAACCAGTGGCACTTGACCATCAAGCTATCCTCGCCTTTTTGTTTTTTATTTTGAGACAGGATCTCACTAAGTTGTTCAGGCTGGCCTAGAACTTGCAATGCTCTTGTCTCAGCCTCCCAAGTTTCTGGGATTACAGGTGTGTGCCACCACACATGGCTAGGCATTTTAAACACAGAGCCTTCCTTATGTTCTTTGACATTAAAGATAATTACAGATTTTATTTTATTTTGTTTTTTGTTTGCATTTTTATCCCTTTATTTTTCTTGACTACCTGATACATTCTTATGGTCTTTAAAATATGTATAAAATCTCCTTCCTCCTCTACTGCTCATCTATCTACTCAGTTCTTATATTAGAGATACTCACATCTTTTTAGTTTTTTTTTGCAGTCTTCTAGATAATATTCCAGACTTTGCTTTTTCTTTTTTTTGTTTTTTAAATTTTAATATTTATTTTAGGAGAGAAAGAATTTTAATATTTATTTTCTAGTTTTCAGCGGACACAACATCTTTGTATGTGGTGCTGAGGATCGAACCCGGGCCGCACGCATGCCAGGCGAGCGCGCTACCGCTTGAGCCACATCCCCAGCCCCAGACTTTGCTTTTTCGACTTAAAATATGTTAGAAATCTTTCCATGTGACTACACAAAGGAGGGGTTTAATTTATTTATTTATTTATTTTCAGTTTCGTAGTTGCCAGTATGTATAGACATGTTGTATTTACTCCTCTATTTTCACAATTTTAATTACTATTATAAACATTGCTACAGTGAATGGAGATAGCTTTAGTCCTTTTTGTTACTTGTAATTAATAATTTTAAAATGTGCCTAGGATATCACAACATAAAATATTTGAGGTTGGCAAGTTTTTCTAGGTGCCTAGAATTGTCATTGTGTTGATAAATCTTTTTTATAATTTATATTTTAAAAGTAGGGAAATACTTCATGATAAGCCAAGTTCTTTGTCAAAACAAACTCAAACATACAGTGTAAGAAAACTCAAAGAATTTAAAATTATTTATTTTACAGCTTGGTGAACTCTTGAAAGATTGGCGGCGTCTCAATGTTGCTATCACCAGAGCCAAACATAAACTGATTCTCCTGGGCTGCGTGTCCTCACTGAAGCGCTATCCTCCTTTGGAGAAGTTATTTTGTTATCTAAACACAGAAAAATTAATATCCTTTTTATTATGTATATGGTCGCATTGAATTGTGCTACTGTGAGTACTTTATGTCCTTATATAAATTAAGACTCAGAGTCTTACGTTTTCCATGGGCATATTTCAAAGATCTGATTCAGCAAAGGAAAGAGAACAATTTTCAGGGAGTCATGTAAGCCAGTAGTGAAGTAATGAGTTGATGGAGAGGGATAGTTTCTGAATTGAGAAACAGAAAAAAGGAATGTGATCCATTGTCCTACAAATCACAGGTGTAGGAAAATGGGTTATCCCTTCTGGTTCTGCAACTCCAAATTTATAACTTTGTTTTCAATCCAAGGTAAAATATTACATTAAAAAACTGAGCCAGGTGTGGTGGCACCTGTAATCCTGGCAACTAGGGAGGCTAAGACAGGAGGATTGCAAGTTAAGGCCAGACTCAGCAACTTAGCAAGGCCCTTGTCTTAAAACAAGAAATAAAAAGCGCTGGGGATGTGGTTCAGTGGTTAATCCCTGGTACCAAAAAGGAAAAGGGGGGGGGGGGGGGAGGGCTGGGGTTGTAGCTCAGTTGCCACTCAGAGCACTTGCCTCGAAGCGTGAGGCCCTGGGTTCAATCCTCAGCATTGCTTAGTACCTCGCTGTTACTGAGGCTGGCTTTGAACCTACCACCCTCCTGCCTCAGCCTCCAAACCACTAGGATTACAGGCATGTGCCACTATACCCAGCACATTCCATTATTTTTTACTTTATGGATATAATTTGTTCCTGACGATTGAACTTGGGCTTCATGCATGTTAGACAATGACTCTACCATTGACTACATCCCTTGCCTTATTTTACAGTCTTAGATTAAAATATATAAATCTTATTGCCTCAGTGTATAAGTATCCATAGAATACCATAAGATCTTGACATTTCTTTGTAGTAAACCAAATCACAAAATGTGAAATAATGTCATGAATGTTTTTGTGCAATTTCATACTGTGTTTAGTATATCTTCCTTAATTTGTCCTACATCATTGATCTCCCGTCAAGAGAACATGAAAGTCTCTGTAACATTTTGGATGATTTTCAAAGAGGATAAAATGCTGTTTTCCTTGCTTTTTGATATATGAACAGTGTCTCTTGGCTCGTGTCTAAGATTCATAATTTAGCTTTGCTATAAAGGCCGTGTTTGGTTAAACTGTGAAAATGACTTTTATCCAAAGGGAGGAAACGCAAGTTACATGTACTCTGTGCAGAGTTCCAGATTTTTGTTTTCTATTTTTTTTTTTTAATCTTATTAACATAAAATTCTATTGCCATACAAAATCCAGCACTACCTTTTTACCAGTGCAGATGTGCTCCAAACTTTGGAAAGTCTAAATTTATAGGTATGATAAATTCATTTTTGTATGACCTAGATAAAGAGTTTGAGGCTGGGCGCGGTGGCGCAACTTGGGAAATTGGGAAGCGGCTCAGTGGTCAAGTGCCCCTAAGTTCAATCCCTGGTACCCGACCACGCCCCCCCCCTAAAAAAAAATTGACAAGATTTTTTTACCAATTTTAAAGATGGATTAAATTTTGGATCTAAGCTTTATATTTTTAAGTCTAAAATTTCAAAACTAATTTGATTTATAGATTCAGTCATAAGAATTGTATCTGCAAGTTGGGCACAGTGATGCATGCCTATAACCCCAGCAACTTAGAAGGCTGAGGCAGGAGAATCCCAAGTTCAAGGCCAGCCTGGGCAGCTTATCAAGACCCTGTCTCAAAATATAAAAAAGGCTGGGGGTGTGGCTCAGTGGTATAGTCCCCTGGGGGTTCAATCTCCTCATCCTCAGTATCACACTCACAAAAAAAGGTATAGTCCCTATTTTCAATTATTCTGTTTGTTTACCTCTTTGGGGGCATTATTAAATTTTCCCTTTTTGTATAAAGATACCGCAGAGTGATTAATTGTATATATGATGACAGAGTTTAGCCTTAGGGTATCCATCTTCTGGAGGAAAAATCTTTCTATTGAGTGTTTTTGTTTAATGAATGTTAGATATTTTTAAAATTATTGCTTCTACCTTTGAAATTCTTATTTAATAAATTGTTTTTTACTGATGGACTTTACTGTGTCATACATTATTAATATTGACAAATCCAGAAACCAAGGAGAGTTAGGATTATAGAGAGATTCCTGAAGGATGCACAGAGTGGACCTGATCATAGACAAATCATTGATCTGACAGGGAGGACTGCAGAGGACGCTGTTACGTATCATGAAAATATAAGTCAGGAAGGAATCTAAGATGATTTCAATTCCTGGGAGTGAAATGGATCAGAAAGTTCTTTGGTTTAGTCAAGTGGTTGCTTCAATAAAAGTTTGTACGGCCTGAGAAGTAAAGCTTCAAGAGGAGCCTGGGGAAGAGTTCCATGTTTCCTTTCATTTTGGGATCTCCCTTGGTCTCCAGATCTCACCATTTAGGGGCTGGAGTTGTGGCTCAGCGTAGAACGCTTGCCTGGCATGTGTAAGGCACTGGGTTTGATCTTCAGCACCACATAAAAAATAAAATAAAGGTATTGTGTCCATCTACAACTAAAAAAAAATTTTTTTTTAAAGGTGCTGTGAATTGGAGGCGGGGCATAAATTTGAGGTTCAGATCAAATCGTCAAAGAACTAACAGTGCCTGTGCCCCACTCCATGCTCAGGGCCCAGAACAGGTGGCTACCAGTCACCAGTAACAGTAGTGTCATTGGTTCCTCACTTTGTGCATTTCTAGGTCAAAAGCACTATTAATCTAGAGAAGGCTTTTCTTATTGTTGGGTTAAACACGAACCAGTTTCTGGGAAAACTTGCAGTGCAGTGAGATAAGTTCTCTAAAGGAATGTGGTAATGAGGGAAATGGGGAGGGGGAGCTGGCCATTCCTCTTATCTCCAGAACTTGGGAGAGAATCTAAAGAGAGTCACCTTGGTTGTAAAGTAAAGGAATGTGCTCATAAAACACCTCAAGAAAGCCTCCTTCGCACTGTGCACGCAGCCTGTCATTTACTCCTGCCTGTAGGCACAGCGAGGCCCTCCACTGCATCCTGGCCCAGTGCTGCGGCGGAGTCGGTCAGTATTACAATGTCTGTTCCTCTGTTACCATTTATGTAACTCTATGCAGTACCAAAGACTTTAAGGTGCCACCTTCTCCAAGGGTGCTTTTCTGATTTTTTTTCCCTTCCAAACATAATTATCCCCTTTCTACTGTAATAGTATATATGTGTTGCTTTATGATGTCTATATTTTTAAAATCAGCAGTATTAATAGTAGCATGCTTTAAAATTTACCAACATTTCTCATAGTTATTCTCTCAATTGAATTAAGCCCTGTGAAGTATCTAGCATAGATATTCTGGTTTAGTTAATGACCTTGGCCAAGTCATTGCCAGATCCAGATGTTCCAATTAATAATTCAGCAATATTCACAGCCATTGTGTGTTCCCCATTCAGTGTTTATATATTTTCCAGGTGCTATGCAAATGTTTAGAAGCATTACAATTGTCATTGTAAGAAAATCGAATCTTGGGCCAGCTCGGGATACAACTGAAAGCTCTGTGGTGTGATGTGACAAGCTGGTCCACCTGAATTTAGTGGACTGATTTGGTGATTAAAAAGACAGCTTTTGCTGGGCATGGTGGTGCCCACTGTAATCCCAATGGCTCAGGAGGATTGTGAGGCCCTAAGCAATTTGGTGAGACCCTGTCTCGAAATAAAATATAAAAAGGGCTGGGACCACAAAAATAGGAAGTTATACCCCATGTATATGTAATATGTCAAAATACCTGCTACTGTCATGTATAACTAAAAAGAACAAATAAAAAATTAGAAAGGGCTGGGGATGTGTCTCAGTGGTTAATCACCCTGGGTTTAATCCCCTGTACTCCTGCCGCCCTGCTAAAAAAAAAAAAAAAGAGAGAGAGAGAGAGAGAGAAAAGAAAGTGTTTTTAGCTCATAGGGAAGCCCATCCAGTTCACACAAGTCACTACTGTTAAAGTGATTGGGACTCAACCCTGGGAAGATTGAACCAAGATATACCCAGGGGATTAAGTCTTTCAATTCTTGTTTGGATATTGCTTTGGCACATGAAAGATTTTTACATTAGTTTTTTAACCTTATTTTATTTTTTTTATGTGGGGTTGAGGATCAAACCCAGTGCCTCATACATGCTAGGCAAGTGCTCTACCACTGGGCCACAATCCCAGCCCCTTTACATTAATTTTTAGAAACTGTTACTATCTGTGTTTGTGGGTAGTGTACTAGGGATAGAAACTTTGACTAGCATTTTGTGATTTAATTAAGTATACTCCCTGTACTTAAATATGTCACTAGGGATGGAACCCAGGGGTGCTTTACCACTGAGCTATATCTCCAGCCCTTTTTAATAGAGATCTTTTATTGCATCACTGAAATATCAGATTGACTCCAGGACTGTGTTTCTGTGGCTGGAACACTCTTAGATCTTATTCATCAGCCTGCTGAAGTGTTCCATTTTCAGAAACATAAATGCCGTCCCAAAATTTTCTGATATCCTTGTTTTTCACTGTTGGGGCTTGCAAAATTAAAGCAGCTGGAATTTGAAACAAGTTCAATGTCATTTCCTTCAAAGATTAATTCATCTTTCTGAGCTTGAAACACTGAACAAGCAACACCTGTCATCATCCGAACCCTGAGGATGTATTTTTCACCCAAGAAATTTCGGATTTCAATAAGAGACCCATTCTCCTCTCCTGAATAACAACGTTAATAGGACGTAAGCATAGACCTCATCTTGTCACGGAAGCCCAGTGTAACACCCTGATCATGTTCTCTACATGACCACAGATCATGCGAACAGTGGCCAGTTCCCTTCTATTTCCCCACCATTTGTCAACCCGTAGCCTCTCTTTCTTTCCAAGGAGGCTGAGGTCTACATGGATATGACTGAAATCCCTCCAGAGGGTTCCTCTTGGGCCCTTCACAATAACTGTGAGTGCCTTCAGAGTAATGTTGACATTTTTTAGAATGTTCACAGTGTCTGAATGCTGAGAATGGTCTTCATTCTTACAGTAGATGTGGCAAAGAGTGAACGCAGGGGATCTTAACCACTGAGCCACATTCCCATCCCTTTGTATATTTTGTTTTGAGACAGGGCCTCACTACATTGCTGAGGCTGGTTTTGAATTTGTAATCCTCCTGTCTCAGCCTCCTGAGCCACTGGGATTACAGGTGTGTGCCACCCAACTGGCTTTTATTTTTTATTTTGGGACAGGGTCTCTAAATTAGTTTAGGCCTAGCTAAATTGCTATGAGTGGCTTCAAACTTGCTATTCTCCTGTCTCAGCCTCAAGAATCACACTGAGATTAGAGGTATGGGGATTGTAGTCATGAGCCCGCTATGATGAGCTTTTCAAAATATTTTCAAAGAGACAGAAGTAGAATAGTACAATGAACTCACATACTCATCACCCACATTGAGCTGTTGTAGATTTTGTTGCACTTATTTTCAACATCTTTTATTTCCTGAGTTATTTTAAAGCAGACATTTGATTTTTTACTCCCTGTACTTCAATATGTGCTGACTTTTAAAAGATTAATATTTTTTATAAAATGACTAAGTTTAGAAATCCAAAGTCTTGAGGCTGGGCGCGGTGGAGCATGCTTGTAATCTCAGTGGCTCGGAAGGTGAGGCAGGAGGATCGCGAGTTCAAAGCTAGCCTCAGCAAAAGCGAGGCGCTAAGCAACTCAGTGAGATCCTGTCTTTAAAAATAAAATACAAAATAGGACTGGGGATGTGGCTCAGTGGTTGAGTGCCCCTGAGTTCAATCCCCAGTACCAAAAAAGAAAAAAAAAATCCAAATTCTTGGGAAACAGGGGTTTATTAGCTCAGTGGTAAATGCATATTTACTATGCACAATGCCCTGCATTCAATCCCAGCATGCATGCCCTGCGGCACCACACTATGTCCCCCTTATCAAAAATCTAAATTCTTACTTTCTGATAAAGGACTCAGAATAGGTTAGTACCCTCTGCTTCAATCCTACCAAGAGTTTGTAAACACATAGATGACACCGAATTCCAATTCTGCTTAATACAGGAAGCTAGAGTATCTTGTAGAACAGTGGTAGAATACTTAACTTAGCAAGCAAGTGACCCCAGCACCCAAAGAAAAATAAATTTACCCTATAGGGGACAATTGGTTTTCTTTCTTTCTTTTTTTTTTTTTAAAATACATATGACTAGTTGGGCACAGAGATGCAAGCCTATAATCCCTGTGACTCAAGGCTGAGACAGTGAGACAGGAAGACTGCAAGTTAAAGTCCAGCCTGAACAAGTTAGCCAGACCTTGTCTTTTATTTTTTATTTTTATTTTTTAGTTGTAGATGGATACAATATCTTTATTTTATTTATTTTTTATGTGATGCTGAGGATCCATTCCAGTGCCTCACACATTCAAGGCAAGCGCTCAACCCTTGAGCTACAACCTCAGCCCCCGGACACTGTCGTAAAATAAAAATAAAAATAAAAATGCTCAGTGGTAGATGGCCCTGGATTATATGCCTAGAGGCACAATAAATACATACATACATATATACATACATACATACATACATACATACGGCTGGTTTTGTTTTTTGGTACTGGGGATTGAACCCAGAAGTGCTTAACCATGGAACCACATCCCCAGCCCATTTTTTTTTTTTTTAATATTTATTTTTTAGTAATCGGCGGACACAACATCTTTGTTGGTATGTGGTGCTGAGGATCGAACCCGGGCCGCACGCATGCCAGGCGAGCGTGCTACCGTTTGAGCCACATCCCCAGCCCCCCAGCCCATTTTTTAAAATAGTTTATTTAGAGACGCTGAGCTGCTTAGGGCCTTGCTAAATTACTGGTGCTGGCTTTGAACTCAAGATCCTCCTGCCTCAGCCCCCTGAGTAGCTTAAATATAGGCGTACACCAGCACATTTGGTAGCTGTTTTAAAATTAAACTTCTATTAGTTACCTGTGAAGTCCCTAGCGGAAAAACAACCTATAAAATAAAGCTCTTTTGCATTGTTTTCATGGTTCTATTAAATAATTATGGGCTGAGGATGTAGTTCAGTGGTAGAGTGCTGGAGTGGTAGAATACCCTAAATTTGATTCCCAGAACCAGCGCACCTCAAAAAATATCTTAAGGGAGACTTCATGGTGCAAAGGTTGTGCATCTGACTCCAGACCAGAAGCTTGGGTGTCCAAATAATTAAATATGTAGTAAAATTTTATTTGCTTTTCTAAATTCCCTTTGAATATAAATTCCTGCTGCCCGATTTAGCACACACCTGTAATCCTCCCTACTAGAGAGGTTGAGAAGATGGGAAGTTCAAGGCCAGCCTCAGCAACTGAGCCAGGCAACTTGACTCTGTCTTTAAAAAATAGAAAGGGCAGGGCAAGTAGCTCAGTGGTAAAGTGCCCTTGGGTTAAATTCCTGGTTCAAAAATAAATAAATAAATGTATGGGATGTAGCTTAGGGGTAACAGGTCCTGATATGGGGTTTGACCAAAAAAAGAAATTCCTTCTTTAACCTGTCATTTGGAGAGGATGAAAATGAACAATCCAGTAGCATCCCAGTTTTTTTTTTTTAATATTTATATATTTTTAGTTGTAGGTGGACACAATACCTTTATTTTATTTATGTGGTGCTTATGATTGAACCCAGGGCCTCGCACATGCGAGAGGAGCGCTCTACCACTGAGCCACAGCCCCAGTATCACAACTTTTTTTTTTTTTTTTTAATTGGGATCTCATTATGTTGTCTAGACTGGACTCAAACTCCCAATCCTTCTGGCTCAGGCTTCCCTATAGCTGGAATTGCAGAAATGAGTCACCATACTCAGTTCTTATTTCAATTTTTTTTTTGTGTGTGTGGGGGGTGCTAAAAATCAAACCCTGGACCTTGTGCATGCTAAACAATAATCTCAGCCCTGAACTTTTTTTTATATTTATTTTTTTTTAGTTATAGTTGGACACAATACCTTTGTTTTATTTATTTATTTATTTTTATGTGGTGCTAAGGATTGAACCCAGTGCCTCCCACGTGCTAGGTGAGCGCTCTACCACTGAGCCATAACCTCAGCCCCTCAGCCCTGAACTTTTTTTTTTTTAAATATTTATGTAGTTGTAGATGAACATATAGTATCTTTATTTTTTTTATGTGGTGCTGAGGATTGAACCTGGTACCTCACCCATTCGAGGCAAGCACTTTACCACTGAGCTACAGCCCCAGCCCTGCACTTTTAATTGCCAGATAACAGTAGACCAATTTAGACTTTTCATGAATTTTAAACTCTATGAAACACTATCAAATGTTCATTTTGAGTTTATGAAAATGGTGACTATTTTTGTGCTGGTTAAAATTCTGGTTCTGTGACACTGGGCAGATTATTTACCCTTTCTGAAGTTAGTTTCTTCATCTGTAAATTGGGTGTAATTCCTTCTGGTAGGGTGATTTTGAAAGCCAAATGAGATTTCAGCCTAAAAACTGACCTGCTCATATATGTTCATTGATGGATAAAGGAGATCAACATGAAATGAAAATGGTACAGTTGACTGTACATAAGGACCTATCTCACATTATTCACAAAAATCAATTCTGGATGCCATAACAGACCTAAATATGAAAAGCAAAGCTATTCTCTCAAGATTTTCATGCAGCTGGGGTAGTGAGGATTTCTTAAACAAGATACTAAAGCGTAAACCATAAATGTAACTATAAGAAAATTAAAGCCTGGTACAGTGGTGCACATCTGTATTTCCAGTGGCTAGGGAAACTGCAGCAGTAGGATGGCAAGTTCAAAGCCAGCCTCAGCAACTTGGCGGGGCCCTAAACAACTCATCAAGTCCCTGTCTCTAAATGAAATACAATAAAGGGCTGGGGATGTGGCTCAGTAGAGTGTCCCTGAGTTCAACCCCATTACCCACCCCCCAAAAAAAAGAAAAGAAAAGAAAAAATGGCAACAAAGAAAGAAAATTGGAATGTATACTTATCAAAGGTCATCATAAAGAGAAAAATCAGGCAAAAAAACCCCTCATACTGGCAACATATAACTGACATCAAAGTAGTATGTAGCATGTTAGGAAAATCATACAAGCCAGTAAAGAAAAGACAATACAAGAATGGGCTAAAGACCTGAACAGTTTCTTGGCAAACTTGGATCTCCAAGTAAGTAGAAAATATGGGCAAAAGTGCTCAATGTTATTAGTAATAATGATAAATACAAAATAAACTCACCATACAACTGCATATTCACAAGACTGGAAAACAATTGACAATTCCAAGCACTTGAATGGACATTAAGCAACTGAAAACGTTAAGTGCTGGTAGGAGTGCAGATTGTGGAAAAAGTTTTGAAAACACTTTGAATTTATCTGGTCAGTTTAAAGAAAGGTATACCCACATTTCCAGGAATTCCAGTTAATCATATGTCCTTGAGACTTTTAGTACATGCACTGAAGGATGGATGTGCACCTTGAAAACAGTCCAAAGTGGAAACTCCTTGTGGACTTGGATGAATCTCAAGAACATGGTGATGTGCAAAAGAAAAAAGCAACAAAATTACTCAGTAGTATGCCGGTTGGAAGCGACATTGTTTAGGGGTACATACTTAGGTGATGGTGTTATACATAAAAGCAAGAAAATTCTTCTCATAAAGATCAGAATGGTATTTAACTCTGGGGGATGAGTGAGACTACGG